ACCAACAGTCTGGCTTAAAAATAGACGATAGGTTGATGAAATACAGTAGGGAAAGCAATTGAAATCGAAGGCGTGGAGCCGCAGCGAGGGTGGCCTGGGGGTGGTGTGGACTTGGTTGAGATCTGCGTGGGCCCAGAACCCGAGAGAAGCCGTTCGCTTGGCTTTCCAAATCATCAGCGAGGAAGGCTGGCTGGCCACTTGCCAGGAAACCCCGGCTCCTTGAGATGTACCGGCATGCCACGCAAAAGAGAAGCAAGGATGGGCGGGGAGGTCTGCTGCCACGTGCCTTTTAAGTAGGTCGCCATGCAGACTACTTCTGCACATTCTCTCTCTGAGCCTGGCTCGCTCTCCTCTTTCTCCGTTTTTGTGATGATGGTTATAGATGCATCAGGGTGTGCATTAATAGTTGATGTTGCCTGGCTGTGGGACTGGTCCATATTCAAAAGTCGTTATTTCCCATCGTCTCAAATCACCTCCTTCGCAGGGCTAGCGGTAATTACTTACTTCACTGCTGCATCATGACAGTAATGTGAAGATTATGACTTGGCCAAGTTCATCCTCAGAGCCCTCGATCCCCCCATCGGTGTGTTGTATGTTAGGACTTCTTGCTTTTTCTTGCTTGTAGACCTGAGCCATCTTGGCACAAAAAAAGAAATCTGTGGTTTTTAAACCCAAGATAAAGCATTTCTGTGGCATGGCGTCTGTCTCTGGAACAGTCTGATTGCTGGGGAGTCACCCCACACACCACACACAGCGGCTTCCACCACAGAGACGTGCTGTCCTCGGTCCTGGAGGTTCCAAGGCTGAATTCCAGGAAGGAACCGCAGCGGCTTGCTTCTGGGGGCAGCGGGCAGTGGGCAGCAGCTTGTTTGGTGCCCCGCTCCCGGCCTCGAGCTGGCGGATAGATGGGCCGGCCCTGGGTCTCTTCATTCTCCTCTCCTCTCTGGTCGTCAGGCTCCACAGTCAAAGCCCCCTCCCTGTCAGAACACCAGGAATAAATACCCCATCCCCATGCGCTTCTCCAAATCTGATTCCTTCTCCAAACTCCCTGTGGTCCAAAGAGGCCCCATGCTAAGCTACTGCCAGGTAAAGATTTGGGGACGCAGTTTGTTATTTTTGGAGATAACAGAAGTTGAACTCAAGACGTTGGACTTGCTACGCAACCATGCCAGGAGAAGTTCCGTGAGGTCCAGGTGGGGTTCTGTGAGCTCATTCTGGATGCGGTTCTGCAAGGTCACCCTAGGTAGAGTTCCTGTGAGCTCACTCCTGGCGAGGCTCTGTTAGGTAACTCTTGGTGGGGTTCTGTGAGTTCACTGTCGGCTAGGTTCTGTTAGGTATCTCTAGTTGGGGTTCTGTGAGGCCACTCCAGGTGATGTTCTGTTAGGTAACTCTAGGTGAGGTTCTATTATGTAACTCTAGGTTGGGTTCTCTGAGATCACTCTAGGTGAGGTTTTGTTAGGTAACTCTTGGTAGGGTTCTGTGCGCTCACTCCAGGTGGGGTTCTGTTAGGTAACTTGTTGGGGTTCTGTGAGGTCACTCCAGGTGATGTTCTGTTAGGTAACTCTAGGTGGGGTTCTGTGAGCGCACTGCAGGCTAGGGTTTGTGAGGTAACTCTAGGTAGGGTGTTGTGATGTCACCCCAGGTGAGGTTCTTTGAGCGGGGTTCTGTGAGCTCACTCCAAGTGAGTTCTGTTAGGTAACTCTGAGTGGGGTTCTGAGCATTCACTCCAGGTGAGGTTCTGTGATGTCACTCCAGGTGAGGTTCTGTTATCTAACTCTTGACAGGGTTCTGTGAGCTCACTGCAGGGGAGGTTCTTTTAGGTAACTCTAGTTGAGGTTCTGTGGGTTCATTCCAGGTGGTGTTCTGTTAGGTAACTCTAGGTGGGGTTTTGTGAGCTCAGTCCAGGTAAGGTTCTGTGAGCTCCCTCCAGGGGAGGTTCTGTTAGGTAACTTTGTGGGGTTCTCTGAGTCTGTGAGCTCACTTAGATGGGGTTCTTTCAGGTGTTTATTAGATCAGTCTAGTTGGGGTCTGTGTACTCACTCTCGTAGCGTGTGCTCACTCTTGAGTTTATTTAATTTCAGCGAAGGTATTGCTGTGTGACGTTACCATCGGTAGAACTGGTTGAATTCTGTATGGACCGTTCTGTGATCTGAGTATAGAGGGAGTTCTCTGTGCTCATTGTACGTTTGGGTTCTTTGAACTCGCCAAGTGAGTGTTGTTTGAGCTCATTACAGCGCCTTTCCTGTGATCTCAGGAGCTCACTATTGGTACAGTTCTGCTAGCTCACAGTGAAAGACTTCAGTCACCCCTCTATAAGGGTAGCTTCTGCATTGTAGGGAAGTTTTTTGCGGTCACTATGGGTAAGGTTGTGAAGTCAGTATAGGGAGATTTCTGCGATCTCACTATTGCTAGAGTTTTATGAGCTCACTACAGTGAGGGCTGTGAGTTCACCAGACAGAGAGCCAGTGATGTCTAGTGGGTGTGTGTGAGGTCAGTATAGGGAAATACTGGCGAGCTCACTCTAGCTAGGGTTCTGTGAGTTCACAGGCGTTGAGGCTCACTCTCGAAAGGGTTCTGTGCGCTTCATGTAAGGAGAGTTCTGTGAGCTCGCTAGAGAGCAAGTTCTGTGAGCTCTTAGAAGGAGAATTCTGTCCGCATAATGCAGGTGTGTACCCCAAGCCCCCTTCAGGAGGAGTCCTGTGAGCTGTCATGGTTCTCCGGTCAGGAGGCAGCGTCGGGCCCTGGGATGAGAGGATTCTTGCATTTCCCTCTTCGCATGCTTTTGTTGTTGAGACAGTATTATTGTTATCGTCCGGGCAGACCTGGTACTTCTTTGTAGAACAGCTAATTAGCAAGCAGGAAGGAGATTGGAGAGGAGGATGAAGAAGAGGGAGGAGGAGGAAGACAGAGGGGAAGAAAAGATAAGAGGAGAAAGAGGAAGAGGAAAAGGAGCAGGAGGAAGGGGAAGGGTCAGCCGGAGGATATGTCAGAGGAGGAAGAGAGGGAAGAGGAGTGTAAAGACCCAGGAGAAGGAGGAGGGGGAGAGAAAGGAGGAGTGGAGATGGAGAGGAGGAGGAGGAAGAGAAGGAAGACCAAGAGGATGAAGGAGTGGGAAGAGGCAGGAAAGGAAGAGGCCAGCTGTGCTCAGCCACGTGAAGAACTCGCGGGCGACTCTCTTGCTGCTTCCCGCTTCCCTCCTGACTTCCCCTTCCAGTCCATCTGAGCTGTCAGCCGGCCCTGCCTACACCCACGGTGTTTTGTGTTCTGTCTCCATGTACAGCTGCGATAACTCCCTGACCACACTGGACATGCACCGAGACTCTCCAGGAGAGTCCCCTGTCCCCCACCCCTCTTCCTTCCATCCTCCCGATCCTCTTCCCCTGCATCAAGAGAACCCAGCTCTCTTCCTCCCCCTGGATGGGTGACTGCTGGGGTTACACAGGGTGACCCCAGTGCCCTTAGGTACTGGATTTGTCATCAGCACAGACCACAGAGCCCCTCCGCCTGTTCGCAAACCAGTGTCCACCTGCACTTACCTATGTGGCTCTGCAGATTCTGGTGGCTTTTTGTTTTTCCTCTCAAAGGTATGCATGTGTGTTTTCCAAGGGCCGGGACTATACGTTCCCCATGGCACGCGATACGAGCTGCCGTCCAGCGAGCGCTCTGTGCATTTTGGTATCACTGCCGCCTTTGAACGCTCGCCAGGTGCGTAGGCCGTGGGCTTTCGCAGAAGGCTGATTAGGCAGGCCTCGATCGTAACAACTGTGCAGACAGAAGGGGAGGAAAATCCCAGACAGCTCACCTTTGAGGAAAGAGCGGAGACGCAGAATGAGCCCACCTAGTGCACTGTGGGAACGAGCCCACCTAGTGCACTGTGGGATGCCTGTGTCCTGAAACCCCACCCACCGGGCCTGGAGGGTCCTGGGTCTCAGCCGTCAGAGTCAGAGATGCATGCAGATGAAAGCCGTGGTGGTCATGAGTTCCTGAACCCTTCTAGATCTCAGTTTCGTCCTCTACGATGTAGGAAATTAAAACATGCTGGTAACTGGCGTGGCGTCTCGCATTGCTCCCTCCTGCTTAGGTTCTCAGTTTATAGAGGCTTAAAAGAATCAGAAGAAAGTAACCAAAATATAGCTATTGCTGATAAAAGGTGACAGACTGCAGCTTAGAGACTTGTAATTCTGTGTCCTCGAATTAGACATTGCCACTGAGTCACAGGCTGGTTCCACAGCCAGGGCCCTGCTCCAGGGAGCTGAAGTCAGGTACCCTTTGGACAGTGGGAACTAAAGCATTCACTCTGCCTTGTTCCCGAGGGGAAGGTGTAGGGTGTCGGACTTGCCATCAAGCCTGGCTGGAGAGATTGGTTCGGAGGATGCTCCAGGCAGAGCGGCCTCTGTGTGGGGAGGCGGGGAGGGGAGGAGCATCCACAGAGATGGAAGAATGCCTCACAGTCCACTTAGGGCTCCACAGGTGCTCCATTTCCTATCAATCAGTCTTCTTTCATAAGTAGTGATAGTTGCGCACACTTGTCATTAAAATAAGCCTTCCAGCTTCCACTGTGTTTTGGAAGTTAGCCTGCTCAGCTGGAAAAACATGAAAGGCCAGTCCTTATTTAGCATGCTGGGCCTTAGGCCTTCCACAGAGATGTCCCTGCCTTCTCCACCTTCTCTAGATCAAGGGCTCTGGCTGTTTCCTGGGGGTCTGTAGTAACTGCGTTCTTATTTCCATGTGTGCGTCCACGTCTGAACTCCTGGGCCTAGGTGCTGTCCATGAGCTTTTTTGCTCAAGGATAGTGTTCTGTCACTCGAGTCACAGCTCCACGTCACCTTTTTTTGGTGGTTAATTGGAGGTAAGAGTGTTGCAAACTTTGCTGCCTGGCTGGTTTCAAACCTCGATCTTCAGATCTCAGCCTCCTGAGCAGCTGGGATGACAGGCGTGAGCTGCTGGTGCCTGGTCTGACTACATTCTTACCACCTGTTTTCTCTCTCTCTCTCTTGCAGTGCAAGTTGGAGTTCCATGCTTGCTCTATAGGCAAAAGCCTCAGCATCCTCTGTGATGGGCCCTGTCCGTGTCTCCCGGAGCCTGAGCCTCCCAAGCCCAGGGCAGAGAAGAACGGTGAGTAGAAACCTCAGGGCACTACTCGAGGCGCGTCGAGTGGCCCAGAGCAGGCCTGCACAGGCAAGCCTTGTCCCACATTCACAGGAGCAACTTGGCGTTCTGCACGGGGGGAAATGGGTTACCTAAGCAAGGAAGTTCTCTAATTTGTTTAGGGATCCTAAAGTGAATTTCCTTCATCTATCATTGAAGAGAAACATTAAAAACAATGCGAAGAGGCTTCAAGAATAACTCTGTTGGACCGAGCTAGACGCTGGGTCCTTTTAGAGGTGGAATTTGCCGGGGTGTAGGAGGAGCAGGTTCTTTTAGCATCTGAGACCAGGGCCTGCCCTCGGGTGTATCTTGGGTTTTCTTGAACTCTAATCTCTCAAATCCTTTGAACTTCTCATGGCCAAATATCAAAACAGAGACTGCGGAGATATCACAACCGCGGCGCCTTCTCCCCCCAAGCATCTCCTCATTAATGTATTCTGCTTGGAGGACAGCACAGAGCCAAGCCATAGATCAAAGAGAGTTCTTTCCCCAGGGCGCCAGCCCTCCTCCAGGGCCGAGGGGTCAGGAGAGGCCGGGCTTCGGGGGGTTTCCACGCGCGAGAAAGCACCGCCTCCACTTCTGAGCCGTCCTTCATGAGACCCAAGACAGAAGTCTAAATTGTCTATTGTGGCACCAGGCACTGTCAGCTGTGATTGGCCTCCTGTGGCAAATGCTGTGTATGTCCGTGTGTGAGTGCGTGTGCGTGTGCACAAGTGCATGAGATGCTATTGGTGACAGAAAGGGGAGGGGCGAGGGGAGAGAGACTGTCCACTTCTGCCGTCCTTCCTAGCGCAGACAGAAGTAGACCTCAAGGCTTAGGCCCCGTTGTCGTGGTAACGTCGGGGAGACTGGAGTTGTGAAGGCTCTTTGGAGGTTCAGCTCAGGATGTGGAGACGCAGCGTGATCCCATGTCATCTATAAAGACCACGCGTTGCACTTGAGGGCGTTATCCATATAATTATAGGAAGAAAGGTGAACTAGGGCTCACCAGCCTCCACGTAGCCTCGTCAGAAAATCAAAAGTCCTGTGGCATTAAGTGACTACTAAATCCAGAAATTTCCAGAAATGCCTCGAAATTTCTTGAGGGCCTGCTTAGGAAGTTTCAGTAGCTTCTATTATTCTAGTCCTACGTTTTATTGCTTTGATTTGCTGTTCTATTCTGAGACTAGGGAACTGGGCCATCCATTTGCCTGTGGCACCCGCAGATGCCCGCTGGTGCGCCCCCACCGGCCACAGGAGGTAACAGGCCCCTTTTCTGAGGGGCGCTTAGGCTCTCTGAATGAAGAACCCTTGTTCTTAACGGTGGCCTTTGCCCTTGACTAAATGAGACTTTCCCTCACATGGCACATTCCAGGGCTGGCTTTGGCTGCGCCATCTATTTATGCCGTTATTTGCTGAAGAAACAAATCCTGCAGGTAAGCACACTGCCGTGAGACATACAGAGGCTTGCAAAAAAAGCCTCATTCCTGAAATCCGAAAGGTCAGGTAGAACAACGCCACCTTTTAAAAATGTCTCAAGACACTCGCAGAGGCTTGGGCTGCTAAATTAGTGGTGAGACGCAGTTCAGCAAAACAAGAACAGCCGCCATTAAATCGTATTAGAAAAGAGAGAGCGCCCCAACAATATTCCAAGACAACCACTACGCATTTCCGCATCATTTCCTTCAGCACCGCGTGCTTGCTTCTTGCTCCACTGGACCTTGGGGCAACAGTTTGCTTTTAGTTTGTTTACATTTTGGTTTGCTCTTCATGTCCCTGGACTGCACCAGGTCCTATAAATTCTTGCTTGGTCCCAAAGCCTCCTGGAAATCATCTAAGAAATACCACAAGCTTGAAACCTCCATCAATGGGTCTGGCCCTTAGACTAGTAGCATTTCATGAACGCTCTCCCCACGGGTCCCATGCGGGGATTTCATGAGACAGGCCTTTTTGTTTTGCCAAAAAAATACCACTTCTAGTCTATGGCTGATGGCAGGAGTTCCACGTAAGCCAGAAGCAAAGCAGAGACATCCTACGAATGGTGAGATGGAATGGAAGGGTTATCACGTGAGCGGAATGTTCCCATCTCTCCATCTTACGATGGAATCCTATGGGAGAGGCATCTCCCTCCCCCCACCCATTAGCCAAGAACGTCCAGCTGTTTAACATGGATCGGATCGGTGTTTCCCGGAAGGTTAAGAACATGTTACAGGCAGTGAGGGCTTTGATGATTCCCCAGGGTCACGGGCATGTGAGGCGAAGCACTTAAATTAATCATGTTTTGCCTGGACAAATTTGATCAAGGGAGGACTGAGCTTCTCCTTGGAGCTGACAGTTCTCAGCCTGATGACTGCTGACATAGAATGGGGCCCGGCTGAGGCGGGACGAGGAGGAGGGATAGAAGAAGGGAAAGTTTGAAAGTGATGTGAAGGGCAACTTTCAGGAAACAGCTGAGCTTTGGGGGTAGAGAGAAAGAGGAGGGGGAGTTGATCGTGAAACCCCCTTTCCATGTCTGCCGGCCCGCAGTCCCTTCTGGAAGCTGCAGGAAGCGGGGTGGTGTCTGCAGGCATTCCTGCCTCTGGACACGGCCACGGTCTCTCTGTCACCAGCGACATTCTTCAGAGCCTCTCCGGAGGGGGTCTGGGGAGGATGAGCCTCTAAGGACAGGGCCTTCCTCTCTTCCCTTAGACGCCCAAGCTCAGGAAGGCTGGCACGTGTGCGGGAGGTGGGCGCAGGGGCCCCACGCAGGCCGGGGAGAGAAGGAAGCGGCGTCTCCAGCCGGGTGTGCCAAGGAGGAAATCACGGCCTCCCTCCAGCTGAGTGATTTGCCACAGTAGAAAACTCGTCTGCAGCGGTGTTCTTTTCTCAAATGGTGTTTTCCACCTGGGGCTAGATTCTGAGAGGAAAAGACACCGCTGCGGGTTGACAGACGGTTGTCTGACTCCATCTCTTCTCACGAGTGGAGTTGAGGGGGGGGAGAGTTGAGTGGGAGGCGGGGGGGGGGGGGGGATCCTCCCAGTAGTCATGTCTTCATGGAAGTCTTAAAGAATCCTGCTACAGGGGCTCCTGGAGAAATGGAGGCGTACCTCTACATTCTGGAAAGCGCCTCCTCCTCTCGGGTCTGTTGTGTAGCAGGGTGCAGGCCTCGGGCTTGCAAACCTGCAGTTTAGAAGCAGTTCCCATTAACCTGTCTTCACCCATTCAACTTCTGTCACTTAGGACTCCGTGCTAATACAGGCAGGAATTAAACATATAAAGAAACATTTAATTTTTTAGGGACCCATTCTTCTAAATGTCATGACCCTCCCCCCCAAAAAGCTTGAAAGTTTAAATTGGCAACTGGATCAAAGAAGAACTCGGAGTTGGCTGCGTGTACAGTGATAGCTATGCAGATCCATTAGGACTGCAGCCAGGATCAGAACAGAACCACCCAGATGTCTCCAGTCTGAGCAGAGCGAGGAAGGAGGCAGAAAGCTCTGAGCGATGTGTCCGCACCTTAAGTCCTTGTCCTCATCCAGAATGTAACTCCAGGGCCCCTTCCACAGGAACTGCGGGGAGCTCTCAGCAAGACCAGCAGGGGCCCAGGTAGGGTCCTCACTGTTAGGATGAACCAAAGAAATGGTTATGGGGCATGGACTCCTCCCTTCTTAGGCCGCCAGGTCAGGCCTGTCCTTAGGCCTTTGGTAGTTGGAGTTGCTATCGTTTGCTCTAACTGACGTGGGAGCACTCCCTTTAGAAATAGAGATGATGGCTTGGTACTCAGAGTCGGCCCATAATGCCATGGGAGGCTGGAAGTTTCTAGAAGTAAGTGGGAGCTTAGAATGGCCTGGAGTGGGAGCAGCTGTGTACCATTCCTCTCCACAACTCACCCAGGAGGAGAGAGTAAGCCAGTGGGACATGGCGGAGTCCATCACCCTGTTGCGAGCGGGTATGGGAGGATTTGCCAGCTGGAGGCTGGGCAGGTGTAGGAATCGGGGCAGCAGACAGGCAAGGTTTGAACTAGGGTTAAAAATAGGATTTGCGCTGGGAAGGTGGCTCAGTGGTAGAGCGCTTGCCTTGCATGCATGAGGCCCTGGGTTCGATTCCTCAGCACCACATAAGCAAAAAGAAAAAAAAATAGGATTTGCATTGTGTATTGTAGAATGTGTCAACAATACCGCAAAATATAAAGAATATTTTTAAATTACCCAACTTTCCAAACTGAATATGATCACCTATTACTTTCCTATCTTTACCACTAGCTTAATAGCACTTAATAACATTCCCCTATCATCAACGACTCCTTTAAAACTTTATTTTTAATGTCATGATGGCGTTTGATTATAGAAGTGACTAATTTTTATAATAAGTCCTCTATTATTGAGCACTTCATTTCTCTTTGATTTTTCATGATTATAAACACTGCTTTTATGAGCATCATTGTGTATTAATTTTGTAGGCATATTAATCACTTTCCCGGGATACATCCCCAGCAGGAGAATTTCTGGGTAAAAAGGTATGCGTGTTATAAAACCTTTGTTATACATAGCGGGACTTTTTCAGGAGAAATATACCACACGCACACACACACACACACACAGGGCCCACCCCAACTCTCCATGCTACCACTCTAAGAATCTCCCTACTCTGTGGGTTAAGAAAGTGAGATTTCATTTACTGGAATCTAATTGACACTCCAGGTCCCAAATAATGGTTTACACAAAAGAGAAAAGGTGCCGTTGGTGACGTTCATATAAACCAGGTCACGTGGCAGGAGGCCGGGGGCCCATCCAGGACAACCTCGATCTCATCGGGATCTCGTTTTTTCCACGTTGTTGCTCTGATAGGCTCATTCCCTGGCCAGTGGCGCCTGCTCGAGCCCTGGCCATTCCGTCCACACTCAGAGAAGAAATCATGTCATGTGCAGGTCTGCTTACCTCTTCGTGGCTAACGCAGTCTGAATTCAGCCCAGGGTCAATCACAAGGCCCTGCTTAGATGCACTCTTAAG